GGGCACCTTTCACCTCGTTGTTCCTCAAAGCTGTAGATCATGGGATTCAGCATGGGGATTATCAGCGTGTAAAACACAGAGGCCATTTGATCAGTGTCAAGTGAATGACTGGACTTGGGCTGCACATACATGAAGAATAAGGTTCCATAGAAGATGACTATGACTGCCAGGTGAGACCCACAGGTGGAGAAGGCCTTGCGCCTGCCCTCTGCAGAGTTCACCCTGAGGATGGCGCCAAGGATCAGAAGGTAGGACACAAGGACAATTGGAAGTGAGGAAGCCAAATTAAAAGATGCAAAGATGAGAATTATCAATTTAATGTCATGTGTGTCTGAGCACAGCAAAGATATCAATGGCAGACAATCACAGTAGAAATGCCTGATGACATTATAGCCACAAAAAATTGAAGTGAAAATTTTAATGATGACCAGCAAAGACAAAAAGACACTGTAGACGTAGGGGATTGCCACCAGCAACCGACATGTCTTTGGTGACATGAAGACTGTGTAGAGTAGAGGGTTACAGATGGCCACATAGCGGTCGTAGGCCATGGCTGATAGAATGAAAAGTTCACTAGTGATAAACATACTGAAGAAAGTGAGTTGGGTAGCACACCCATTATAGGAGATTATATGTTGATCTGCGGCAACATTTACTAGCATTTTTGGCCCTACAGCAGTTGAGTAACCGAGATCAGTGAAAGCCAGGTGTCTGAGTAAAAAGTACATGGGTGTCTGTAGCCTGGAGTCCATCTTGGTGAGGATGATCAAGCCCAGGTTACCCACCACGGAGACCATGTAAACAACGAGGAAGAGTGCAAATAAGGGTGCCTGCAGCTCCGGGACAGCCGTGATCCCCGTGAGGATGAATTCATTCAATATTGTTAGATTATGTCTGTCCATCCAGGCCATTCTGGAAACCTACAATGGACATGAGTATAAAAATTATCAATCAGTTTTATGAGCTATGACTGAGATCACCATTGTAATCAGTGGCTAAATGCTTAATTCTTTCATTTGGGAATTTTTGCTTCAGTTGGCCACTCCGACGCCTGGCAATTCAATTCTCTGTCTCCCAGTTCAACAATTCTCTTCGTAGTTTTCAGATTTGACTCCAAAAGCACAAACAACAAAAGTAAAAATTTATAAAACAAACTTGTGTGCACCAAAGGACATTATCGAAGAATTAAAAGGCAACCAACACAAAGTAAAAAACAGCAAATCACATATCTGGCAAAGGTCTAGTACATACACTATACAAAGGACTCTTACAACTCTACAAGACAAACACTGTAAGTTTTTAAAACGGCAAAAGACTTGAACAGACATTTGGAACAGAAGATTTACAAATGGCCCAAAGTACATGAAAAGATGTTCAGCAACATTAGCCACTAGGGAAATACACATTAAAACCACAATGAGCTACCACATTACACCCAGTAGGATGGCCAGTTTAAAAAAAAGGAAAATAAAAAATGCTGGCAAGGGTGAGGAAAGATTAGAAGTTTGTACATTGTGGTTGAGAATGTCAAATGATATAACCACTCTAAGAACAGTTTGAAGGTTACTCAATAAGTTAACCACAGAATTACCACTAGGACCTAGCAATTCCACTCTTGGATGTATACCCCAAAGTATGGAAAAACCACATATATTCACAAAAAGCTTGTAGGTAAATGTTCATAGCAGCACTGTTCATAATAGTTAGAGATAGAAATAACCCAAAACATCACCATTTGATGTTATCCATGGATAACAAATGCGGTCTATCCATAGAGTGGAATATTAATACACCATGAAAGGAAAGAAGTATCGACAATGCTACAACATGGACAAGAATTTACAACATGCGAAGTGAAAGAAGCCAAGTATGAAAGGCCACAGATTATGTAATTCCATTCTATGAAATATCCAGAATGAGAAAATCTGTAGAGACAGAAAGCTGAATATCATGGCTTGTTCAGAACAGTTGAATTAGTCCTCAAGAGACTACACTTATTTTTAGTAGATATAAAAAGGTTATATATATCTCATGGCAAACATGAGAGTTTATAAAAGTGTGCTCTTTTCTAAATCCATGCAAGTAAATACCAGTCTCTCCATATGCGAGAAAAGATATGAGATGCTTTTCTCACCAGTTTTATGTAAAGCACTAAAATCTATTTTTACATGAATCTATTTATATTCATATTATTTTACATGATTACTGAAGACGATGTGGGACTGACCTCTTAAATTTTTTTTTTTTTTTACTTAATAGTCTCATAACATGTAAGATATACAATGAGCAGTGCGGAGCATTGGACCTTCTGTCACGAGTGCCTGCAAGGGCAGTTGGCACATTTCAGTCTTTTCCTGAGAGTCAAGGGGACATTAACCCCTCGGCAGAGCCTTATGTCCCTGCGTGGTACATGTGATGCGAGTGGGGAACTAAGTCCCGACACACAGGTTCAGAAAGAGTGAGTAACGACTTTATTTGAGAACCAATGTCCCTTCAGAGGCCAATGCTCTGGTAAGCACAGAGGGTTATACAGAATAGAATTTAATAATGAACCAAGTCCCAGAGTCAATCGAGATGCAGAAGGTCCCTGGTCCGGGAGAGACGACTGGGCCCACCATGGGTCTGAGGTGAGCTGGTCTTGCAGGAAGAACTTCAGAGAGTCCCGGAGTATCACTGCCTGCACCTCGCAGAGGGTCTCAGCCGGAGCGTGCAGTCAGACTGCTCATGGCACTGCTCTGGAGCTCTGCTTTTATCCTCTTTTCCTTGGACATGTTTACTTCTTAGGTGACAACCAGAAGTTGTTTTGGTGGACAGGTTTACCACTCAATTTTGTTACTCTCAGTTTCGCACAAAAACATAAACATGTTTATTTTCGTGTATATGCTCTACACATGAACATGTTTACTTTCACTTTACTCTTATCAGTCTCACACATGTGCAGCCTACCTTATGGCCCTGCTAATAAACAACTTGTTTTGTAAGCCTCAATCCAAAAACAACATTGTTTATAGTATATTTCATATGTTCTGTACACCTTCCCTATAAAACCGCCCTGAGTGTAGCAGTTGGAGAAGCTGAATCACTCCC